CCCCAGTTCTTGTGTTACAAGAAGGAGTAAATAACACTTCCTTGCCTGTCCTTGGTAGTAAAGATGAAATGTTGTACATTGTGAAGCTGTCTGGCACCTGCTACATTTAAAAATACGACGGTCACTGGTGGTAAGATAACAATCAGTGGTATTGTACTGACCCTGTCAGATTCCTGCTGGACAGTAGGGAAAGAGTGAGCAGACTGTCACGCTGTCTGGAGTAGTTCACAACTGTGAAGGCCAGCCTCGGGGCAGACAAACTGGTGGTGTGTTCTACAATTAGGTTACACCAACCCAGTAACAAATGAGAACTCCTGAAGCAGGCTTACCATGGAGTCACAGGCAGTCCCCTTGGGCATTGCCACATAGGCAAGCTGGACTTAGTGACGAGTTGTTTGCTATGCATCAAAGATCACAAAATGACTTCAAGGTCTGGAAAACATGAGCGATGAGGAGAGATGGACAAAATTGGGTTTGTTTAGTCAAGAGGAGAAGGCCAAGGGGGGGACAGGATAACGGTTTTCAATTACATTGAAGATTGTTACAAGGAGGGGAAAAAATTATTCTCCTTAACTTCCTAGAATAGGACAAGAAGCAATGGGCTTAAATTGCACCAAGGGAGGTTTAGGTTGGACATTAAGAAACTGCCTAACTGTCAGGGTGGTTAAGCACTGGAACAAATTGCCTAGGGAGGTTGTGGAATTTGTCATTGGAGGATTTTAGGAACAGGTTAGACAAACACCTGTCAGGAATGGTCTGATTATTACATAATCCTGCCATGAGTGCAGGGGACTGGACTAGACAACCTCTCGAGGTCCCTTCGAGTCCTAGGATTCTATAAAATATTTGGGTTGCTTCCAGTCCCAAGAAACCAGTCACTTAACCCCAGGTCGGTTGTACCTTAGGGCTTATGCCAAAGACAATGTTTGTAGCCAATCCTATAGTAAACTAACTAAGGATTTATTAACTAGGAAAAAGAAACGAGCGAGTTATTTACAGGTTAAAGCTGGCAAACCTACAGTCACAAATGAGTTACAGTTTATGGTTCCAAACGGTGACAGAGTTGTAGCAATCTGTCAGCTCTGAGTATCTTTTCGGGCTCACCCAGGTTGACCCTGGGGATCTCCGCTGCAATTTCGTAGGTTGAGCCCTCAGAGTCCAAACAGCCCAAGAGCTGAAAAATTTCCTTCTTCCACAATTGAAGCTGGTGGGACGAGCCTTTTTGCAGGTAGCCTCTTCATGGGTCCGCAGGGACAATTAATCAAGTCTTTGCCTTGTGATGTCCCACAATGGCCCATTTAGTTCTGATAGCCCTTCCAGATGGGCCAGAGGGAATACCCCTCACAGGGATTTAGCACTTTGCACACATTTTTTGTGTTTGGTGAGTTACGTAGTTCAGAACAAACCTGTTACAGCTATATAGCAAACACTGAAGTATTCCCGTATATACCCTAGAATATCAACATTCTAAGTAGGATTAATACATGTAGCCACCCACAAGCATTTCATAAAGTCTAAACACACCATTATAAGTCCAATACCCATCTTAACCATTCTAATGCACCGGTGGGCTGGACTACTTTCCAGCAATGAAACTGTCAGTACTCAGCTGAGGCCTAAAGCCTTTGCAAGAGCTGGCACCCGGTCTGCCAGCCTCACACAGGTAGCCTGTAGAAGTTGTAGTCATCCACAGGATGAAGCATCTTCTCTCCAGATGAGCATTGCTGAGTGGTTGCAGGCACAACCAAGTGCCATGTCAGCTGTGGAGCAGGCAGCTGGGGGCTTGTGAAGGCTGCTGTGGTTTGACGATCCAGCCTCAATTCTGGAGTCAGTGCACACCAGCTGAGAGTGCCCCGAAGAAAAGGGAAAGCCAAGTTCAAAGGCAGAAGGGAAGGGATGGATTTCTTTTGTCTATGCTTGGGCTTTGGAGTAGAATAGCATTATCTGCCAAGGCTTCAGGTGCAAGGAATTGTGTGGGAACGTCTCAGATGTCGGTACATAGCAAAAAAAAACCCAACCCAACCCACTCCAAGTCAAGGAATGGGCAAAACCCAGCCCCTTGCTTCTGATGAGTCCATTGGATCTGCTCTTGAAACACTGAAACCCTCTTCCAAAGCCAGCAAGGGGAGCAGCGTCTCTAAGCCCCCAACTACCACCAGGCAGCTTCTCCCCAACTAGCTCATGCACACACTGTTCAAGACTTCAGCTGCTGTAAGCTAATGTCCATGCTGGCTGGCTTGGGTCCCTTTTACTCCTCCCACACTTCTCTTCCTCTTGGCCTTTTTTCCTTCCAAGCCTCTTGCCTTTTCTGTTCTCCTCTCTTCTTCCTTTGCGTCTTTCTCCCCTTGCCCTCTTTCCTCTTACTGGTCCCTGTTGCCATGACTCACCCACCCTTTCCCATTTCAGCAGCCTCCCTTGCCCAGTTCCCATCTGCAACCATCCATTCTTGGCTTTTCCCCTTCTCCCTTCCTTCCAGAAGTTACAGCGAAGGGAATTAATGAGATGATGCCTTTGCCGCTCCAGGTTCTTAGCCAGCCGGAATTCCTGTGCTGGCTTGATCACAGTTCATTGTAATAACACCAGAACCCACAGGCGTGCTGGTCTGTATCAGTCTGTCAAACATCTCAGTGTGTTTTTGTTGCTGGCTGCCTTTAGCACCGGGTGCTATAGATCACCCAAAAGTGTGTAGAAGGCTTAGTAGCCCTTGGCTCTCAGATGTGTTTCCTCAGCCTTGGAGGCATCACAAACGTTGATCAAACATTTCAGTGCTTCTCTTTTACTGCTCCTGCAAGGTGTCGGCTTGACAAAGTTCATCCCCAGCCGATACAGCCCTGGTATTGTCTGACCTGCCTCATGTTTACAGAATCGCCTTTCACGATAGGAATAAGAGCTGGCTCTGTCCTCTTACTAATAGGTTGCGTGTGCTGTCGCTGGCAGGCTGGACGTGGCTTTTGCTACCAGTCTGCTGGAGAAAGAGATCTAGATGGCTTCTCTTGTGCTGCTTGGAGTTGAAGCATACTCCAGGAGAGTTCTCTGCTGTCACGGCGATGTCCAGAATGTGAAAACGTCTCCAGGGGTGGGGGTGAACTGAGCATGGGTTTCCCTAAAGGGCTGGGGGCTGTGATGAGGAGGGAAGGCCAAGAGACCTCCTGACCCATTTGGATCAAATAACTGATCCAACCTCGAATCACCTTCCAGCTTCAGAGGAGCTTTGCTCCAACTCTCCTGCACAGCTGCGGTTCTGGGCTCTGGTCTGTACTGGAAACAGAGATGCCACCAGAGGCTCTCTTAGCATTTGAGTGTCAGGAGGAAATGTGGCATGCGTCTCAAGAGAGCTATATATTGCCAACCCCAATTCTGCAGACCCGACGGACTGTAATGAGCCTAGGAAGATAACGAACAGCTGGCAGGATGTTTATTGGGGCCTGACGCTCCTGTCTGTAACAGATATCGTTCCATTATAGTTGCTAACAATAATAAATATGCTTTTAATTTTCACTTTAAGTACCTATCATCCATATTTAACTAGCATTGATTTTCAGATTGGATTACATGAAAACCTGGGATGATGGAGGCCCCGTGTCTCAGACCTTAAGTATTACGTCCCCAGCCATCCGCTCTCCTCAGCAGCTAATAGAAATCTGATACATCCACACCATGTAAGGTGAAATCTATCTTGGATGTAGTGCTAGTTATGAAAACGATGCCTTTTGCGTGGTACTGACCACTGAGGTCGTGACTATTTAGATCACCATCGACCCCTGGCGTTTTCAGATTCGATGTGGGGGAAATCCCAGGTGCTGCCTAAAGTTCCCCTTGAATTTACAGTTGGAGGCTGTGTTCTGAGCTTGCTGCCTGGGGTAGCGTGTGAGCACATATTTGACAACTTACACCAGAAGGGGCTGCATTTCAGACATGGCGTTATCCCAGCACTGAATAGGAATAAATGCTCTGTTGTCAGCGTGGCAGTGCGTTGTATCCAAGATCAGCACTAGGATTTCAAGGCCAGAAGGGACCACTGGCTCTGGTCTGACCTCCTGAGAAACACAAGCCATGGCATTTATCCTGTTAATCTGCTATTGGGCCCATAAATAATTTGTTCCCAATAGCCTGAAAAAGGATATGAAGAGGTGGCAAAACTTGCCACTGGCACAGTTGTTTAGAGTCTCTTAAACTAAAGAGGACAGAGGACCTGGCTAAGCTAGATGGGGCAAGACCGATGAAATTTGATGACATGCAAAGCAGTGTGTGTTGGAAGGAATTGTTTGAATTTAGTGTGAATATTGCTCCGTTTTCAATCTAAAACATTCTGAAAAGGGACCAGAGTCATTTTTAATTTCCTGGCTGAAGAAAGCGCCAACTTTCTGCTCCAAAACCGTAAGCTTCTACAGCTTGAGATGAAAGAAGACCTCCAGTAGCTGTCAGAAGAATTATCTCCCCTCTAGTCCTCCACCTGGATCATTGCAACACCCAAGCAGATTAGCATCCTTTCTAGGAGGGGTCAGAGGTACGTGTACAAGCTGGTATATTGAGGCACTGTACACACACCTCCCCCTTCTCCTGTGCTAGTCTCCTTAACTCCCGTTATCAGTCCATATCGTTTTACGTTAGGGTACGCTGATATTTCTCTGGGTAGTTTTCTACTCCTGTTCCATACGCTAGGTTTAGCTTCCTTTTCCAGGTGACCCTCCACAAGCTGCTGCCTGGATTGGCCAGTGCATCCTCTACTTGCTGATAATGGTCTTTGAGAAGACTGTGGTAAGCCTTGCCCTGTTCATCCCTGGCTGGACAAAGGTAAGTGACAGGTTATGTTTTCCTTTGGGGGAGGGTGGGTATTTCCATTGCATTGTGTGCGCTAATTCTTTATTAGACCATCACTCACAAGGAGCCCTCAAATAATCCATTAGTGGTTACTGCATCTGGGGAAATGGCTAATGGCGGGGAAATGTGTCACAAGCTGACGAATAGAGAGACTCACTGAATAGGTTGTTCTGTCCTTGGATGGATGAACTTGTAGCCTGGGACTCTGGAGACTGGGTTCAATTCCCAGCCCTGCCACAGATATACTCTATGACCTTGGGCAAGTCACTTAATCTCTGTTTCCATAAGTCATCTCTGAATTGGAGATACTTCCTTTTGTCTTCTCTGTTTCAGACTGTAATTGCTTCAGGGCAGAGGCTGTCTTGTATTTTGTACAGCACCTAACACAGTAGGGCTCTGATCTGTTCTGACCACTAGCTGCCACCATGATACAAAGCCTATCAGTAGACGGCAACTGTGTGTGTCCAGAGAGATGGAACAAGTGGGAGACATTAAGTTGGGACACATCAGCGTTTCATTCCTGTTGGAACCAGTATTCTGAACCTATGTAGTACAGGACTCCTAAACTTGAACCGCTAATGTAGATTTCTCCACTCTTGGTATGTGAACCTGTAATCGGGGGGCTGGCAGTACTCTTCTGGATGTCTTCCAGGCCACCTCATGCAAGGCTGCTGTCCGATAAGCTTGTCTTGCAGCCAGGCTGGGAGAATCCAAGGAAAATCTGCCTGTTATTTTAATGCACGGTTAGTGTGGAAGACCAGCACTTTCATAAACGAATAAACATCTGCCTGGCCTCAGGCTGCCAGAAACGTCTGGGGTGGGGTGGAATAGCTTGTGTTCTTCTAGCTTATGCGGCAGGGTAAAAAAGGCAGCAGACGAATCTGCCAGTGTGGGAAGGTCGCTGCAATTCGTGGTTAATAGCCCTCCACCAAGATGTATTTTAACAACGTGCTTCATTTTTGTTTCCCTTGCAGCTTCAGGAGATCTTACTGGATTATATCCCAGACCCTCAGCTAGAGCTCGTCCTGGTCATGTTCATTGTGCCTTTCACAGTCAATGTAAGTGAAGCCAAAGACTCCTCTGCAAACACTATGGTTTTGTTGGGCCTAGGTGTCCCAACAGAGACGTGCTGTACAGGCAGTCCTTACTCTCTTGAAATAGGACAGAGCAGAGAAGTGACACAATAGGTCATTGGCCGAGCTGGGAATAGAACTTCCCTCTCCGGATTCTCCAGCTGTTGCCTTACGCACTAGACTAGAGTTACCATATTTCAGCACGGAAAAAAGAGGACGGGAGGAGCCCCGCCCCTGTTCTGCCCTAGCCCCGCCCCTTCCACTCCCCGCCCCCCTCAGAACCCCAACCCTCCCCCTGCTCCTTGTCCCCTGACTGCCCCCTCCTGGGACCCCTGCCCCTAACTGCCCCCCAGGACTCCACCCCCTACCTAAGCCTCCCTGCTCCTTGTTCCCTGATTGCCCCCTCCTGAGACCCTCCCCCATCCTAACTGCCCCCCCCCAGGATCCTACCCCCTACCTGTACCCTGACTGCCCAAAACCTTATCCACACCCCCACCCCCAGAAAGCCCCCCCCCGAACGCCCGACCCCTCCCCCGTCTCTTGACTGCTCCCTCCAGAACCTCCCTGCCCCTTCTCTGACTCCCTGGCCTCCTTACTCTGCCGCTCAGACCAGCGTGCCGGGGAGAAGGAGCAGGGGGAGGAGCTCCAGACTGCCGGTGCGAACGGCCGGCTGGTGATCTGCAAATGCAGGGAGGGAGCGATCTCTGCTGCAGGGGGAAGGAGGGGCTGTCTCTGGCTGTCGGAGCCCGGGGGGAAGTCCGGACATTTAGAAATTCCCCCCGGACGCTATTTTTAGCTCTAAAATCCGGACATGTCCGGGGGAATCCGGACGAATGGTAACCCTACACTAGACCACCCTGCCTGTCTCATCAGTCTATGCAGAAGCCACCTATTGCTGAGACACTAGCGTCTCCTAGTTAGTTAATTGTATCAACACTGTTACTTGGAGGAATTTGAGTTGTGGAGTGATGTAATTAAGCCTCTCGGACATCACAAAACTCTGAGATCTCTACCATAGCTAATGATTAATTCTGTCTGTCTTTGCATATTTTTGTTAGAATACGGCACATACAATGCACGGGGATGCGGTTTTAGGGTTTCCAAGATGAAAGGTGGTGACTGCTTTGGGGGTTTTTTAAGTACTTAATGCAATGTGCATGGCATTTTCTGAAACGGAGGTTCCCTGTCTAGAAGACTCTACTTAAACTGTAAGATGAAAATGATAGAGGTGGGGCTGGGACAGGATAGGGTGAAGGTGAGGACAATGAGGTGACTTGGATTCTATGGGTGAATCAAAGAGTAAAATATGGCCTCCAGTCTTTCGCCGTGATCCATTAAGACAGACAAAAGTCTGTTGCTTAAGTGATCATTTGGGACAGATTGTCCTGCTGTACTTAAAAATCGCTTCCTCCTCTACTGGACCTGACGAGAGACGAATGAAGGATCTGGGCTTCCCTTGCAATTATCTTGACGTCCCAGGCATCCACAACTCGGCTGTTAGTGCCATCCTGTGATGACAAGCACTTAATTCTGATCTCCGGCCTTATCAGCCAACGGGCCTTCCATTCACCTCTTTAATGATGCTCTTAAAGAATAGCCGAACTGGCTCGTGTATAGAATTTGATCCAAAAAGGCAAAGATAACAGCTGAGTGGTAGTTTTCTAGTGATGTCACTCACGTTAAATACCAATTATAACTCCAAAACAGGCCCTGTCCTGCAAGGTGAATGCCCTCTACTCTGTGGTCAACGAGCCAGAGTCAAATAGGCCAGGGCTTCGTGGGTGTAAATGCTACCAAATCAGACAAGAATCCAGCCCATTGGGAGAGGCTGGTGCTGTCAGAATCAGGCCCTGTGTCTGCAAACCTCTTTGTCCAAATAGATTTCCCTACGGTTCGCAGCCTTCAAAACTGGGAAGAATCAACAAAAAAGTCCATTGAGGTTTTGGCTGAAACTTCCACTCAGTCTGATGTAAAATTCCTTAGGGAGGAAGTGGTAATTCAGATGCTTAGAAATAAATATAGGGTAACTTTGTTCTGATGATCTTGTATAAAATTAGCCCTCCTGCTACAGAAGGTCCTTTTAAAATAGGACTTGCTTGAAGTCCAGCCAAATGTTCTGTTGTCCCAAAAACTGTTGATCGTCTCTAAACCATCATTCTGGAAATCCTTTCCGTGTCTGCCTTCAGAGGCTTTGAACCTTTGATTAGGCCATTTTTGATGGAACCAGAATGTTTTTTGAACTGTGAAATGGAATGTCCCACTGCGGTCTGACACGACATGCTATGGCAGATGGCGTCCTGCTCCATTCAGAACGTCTTTCCACCCACCGCAACTCAGGATGCAAGAAGTTCAAGGTAGACTATGCATCCGTCCTATCCAGCTACGCCACTTCTTCCCTCCCGTTCCTTTTTCTCTGGAAACGGTCTTCCTAGGGGAATTGAAAAAATCCCAGGAACAACTGCATTTATCGCTGGAGAGTTCCCTTCCTAGTGATGTGTCTCAACTTTGCTAAGACCCTGTGGTTAAAATGGGTGCTCTTCCACTCCTCCTGACCTCCTACACATTGGTGCGTTCTCTGGTGACCGCACACAAGGAGATGGAGAATCTCAAACATAAGGGATGTGATGGAAGATGGCGTTAAGACAGAAGTAGGAAGTACTTCACTGGATGGCTTGGGAGAAGTGCAGACAGCCAGTTAGAAGCAGTCAGTAATACCTAGGTCTTAGAGCATTCTTCATCAGTAGATCTCCAAGAATGTCAGTATCATTACCCCCACCTTTTAGAAATGGGGAAACTGGGCACAGGGAGGGGAAGTGACTTGCCCAAGGTCACCCAGCAGTCCATCTAGTGGCAGAGCAGGGATTAGAACCCAGGTCTTCTGAGTGCTGGTCAGTGCTCTATCGCTAGGCCAAGCTGCCTCCCAGTAGAGAGTAAGGCAACAGAGGAGCCATACAGAACCCTTCCAGGCAGAGACAAGCTGTTTGAACTTGATGTGGACGGCGGAGAGGAAATTCAGAGTGGAGAGTAGTGTGGTCTGAGTGAGACTGGCACAAGAGGAGGTTGCATTCACTGAGGCAGGACATTGCAACTCTCGTTTGAATAGGATTGCAAAATGCATGAGTCAGTACAGCTCAAGACAGCTAATATTTCTCCCCCTTCAGAAGACCGCCTGGTAAGGAGGGAAAGCTGCCGTCCCCTGCAGTTTCTAACTAGGTGGAGAAAAGCCTACAGCTGCCGAGCTGGTGCCTTTCTGTTGGGCACTGGTTTCTCATACAGAAACTACAGGGTTTTTTTAATCTCCTAAATATGTCACCACAATCGCTGTGGCCAGAATCCACCTGGGTGTGCATGCTGACGTGGTTAAGTAACTGAGAGCGCCAAGCACGTCCTGGCTGCTCTGAGCCAAATAACATGCCAGCTCCCGCAGCCACATGGTGAGCTCAGAAACTTGGCTTTCATTTTTAGAGGAGCTGTGTTTGGCCTCCTAGGTGGTGGGGAAAGCTTGAAAACACAAACAGCGTGTGTGCCTTTGACTCTGCCGATTCATGAGGCAGCACCTCCAAGCCTCATTCATCTTCGCTTGGAAACCTGCTGCCACCTGAGGGAGGTGGGGCCGTGGGAGCCCCATGCGGGATTTGCCTTGGGCCCCAGATGGCCATAATGTGTCCCTGCTGCCACTTCTGCTTGGCTCAGGAGCAAACTTTCCCAGCACGTGGGAAACCAGTGCGAGCACTGACAACTGTTCTGGGAAGCTGAATGGGTGAACCTTGGCTCTGGATGCATCGTGTTTCAGCCAGTTACAGCTGCAGAGCATGGTGGGAAATCACTCTGACCCAGTTACAGCCCTGACCTACTGTTTAATCTCTTTTCCAGTGGGTCCTCCAGCAAGTGCCTGCTCTGACAAACCGACCAGGCTTCAATGCAGAGGAGAGAAAATAGCTCCCAAAACACACAGTTGGTCAAGCTCTTGCAGACCTGGGGCCTAATCCTGCAGAGTGGCCTAATCCTACTCCATTCGTGTCAGTGGGGGTCGAGGGCGTGAATTGCTCGGTAGGATCAGGTTGTACGGGAGCTGTTGGTGGTCATTGTAAGGCTTTAAAGCTGTAGCACCCCCTATTGCTGCTACCGCCTTGCAGTTTAGGCTGCACTGAAGATTGGCCCTCCAAAGTCTGGGCTGTTTGAACAACTTTTTTATTTTCCTTTCCCCCTCCAAGGCTGTTATGTTCTGGGTCGTGGACAGTTTGATCATGAGGAAGTATAAGCAGACGGACAGCCTTGAAGGCAGCAGGTCCATAGAAAACCCCGTGAGGAATGAAGAATCCCAGGTAAGCCCAGGGAATGTGCTGTGGGCAGATGTGCACAGACAGCCAACCCTAAGTCAAATGAACCCCACTCGTTGTGACTGCAGTGGGTAGCCCTGACACAAGGCAGGTGATCTGAATTTAGAGCCAGCTGTGCCACAGAGCCGCGTCTGCCTTCCCCTTGGGGAGGGGGATTGTCTGACCGGGATTCTCGTTGAGCGCTCCCTTGTTAATGCTGCAGAAACGGGAGCACTGACCGAATCTTGAGCCACTTCACCCCAGGGAAGCGGCTCTCTCCGCTCCCATGGACAAGTCTCGAGTTGCTGGGAGTGTCTGACTCCCTCAGGTCTGCTCTCTGACACTAGGGAGCGGGTGAGCGCATGAAAGCTTCTGCACCAGAAATGCCAGGAGGGAAAAGGCGGTAAGAGCTCGAGAAGGGCAGGCCCTTATTTCTAGTCCCTAGGAAAGTTCTACAGCGTGGCTGTGTTTGGAAAGGACAGGGGTGGCCAACCTGAGCCTGAGAAGGAGCCAGAATTTACAATGGACATTGCCAAAGAGGCACAGTAATATGTCAGCAGCCCCCAATCCGCTCCCCAGCCCCCAGCACCTCCCGCCTGCTGGCAGCCCCCACCAATCAGCACCAACTCCCTCCTCCCCCCACAATCAGCTGTTTCACGTTCGCAGGAGGCTATGAGGGGGAGAAGCGAGGGAATGGCAGGCTCAGGGGAAGGGGCCTTGGGGGAAGGGGTGGAGTGGGGCAGGGCTTGGGGCAGAGCAGGGGGTTGAGCAGTGAGCACCCCGCAGCACATTGGAAAGTTAGCATCTCTAGCTCCAGCCCCGGAATCCGTGCCTAGGTAAGGAGCCGCACATTAACCTCTGAAGAGCCGCATGCATCTCAGGAGCCACAGGTTGGCCATCCCTGGAAAAGGACTTAAAATGGTATCGCCTCTCTCAGTATTGAGAGCAGCAGCATGGGCTGGTGGACAGGGATTTGGAGACCTGGTTTCTATTCCCAACTCTGCCACTGCCAAGCTCTGACCTGGAAAGCTACTTTGCTTCCTCAGCTCCCCTCCTACTCTGGCTTCTCTGTTTAGACAGGGACTCCTAGGTGGTTGTACAGTACCTAGCACAATGGAACCTTGATTGCAGTTGGGCCCTGTAGACGCGGCCATGTTGAAAGCAATAAATATCCAGTATCTGTTCAGTAGGTCTCCTCGGGCACTACCAGTGTTATCCACTGACACCATACACGTACTACACTCCGCCACCCCTACATCACTCCAACTATGGAAAACCAAGCTGGATTCTTGTCTACTTCACGCACCATCAACAGACTAGCCCGATCAGTAATGACAGCTGAATGCCGTGACAGGGCGTGGCTCGATAGTTTTCCAGATTCCGGGCTGAATTAATGGCATGGAAAATCAGTCTTAATTTGTGAATCGAGCAAATGTCGTATGAAGTCCATTGAGAATCAACAGAACTCCAGCAGGCGTCGCTTCCAACTCCTTTGGGGCCCTCACGTCTAGTTAACATGTTTAAAGTTGTAGTAAGCAGGAATTTTTTTCTTGCCAATGTCTTGTCTTTTGTTGAATTTTGGAGGAAAACATGCTTGGGGGGAATCAGTTTGCCAGGTGTCTTTGTTTCTCAGCAAGCAAACTGCCAGTTAACTGTGGTGTGAGTCACCCTCAGCATATATTTGGGTTAACTGGATGTTCACGCTTTAAGTCCAAAGGAAAAAAACATTGTTCTGTTACGGGCAGATTTTGTTCTCATTGTTTGCTAATACAACAGAGTTCACCGGACACATCCATGTCTGTGCTTGGGTTTTGGGCAAAGGCCATAATCTAACTAGCTGGATCTAATTCTGTTCTTCCCTCCCTCCACCCCTATTTTCAAAATGCTACATATACAAATTCTGATTTCCTGCTGTGCATTGGCAAGACCCACTAGACTGAACAGGAGTTCCACAGTTACAGGCTGGCTTCTGAAATAGCTGCTGCTTGGTGGAATTAAATACTCCTAGAGAAAAGGGGGGAAGAAACAGACCCGAAATAATACAAGGTATTTCACGTTCTCCTTCCAGAATAACTTTCATCTCCAGTCCCCATTAAGTTTACTTCCCTCATGGCTTTGGTCAGAGCACATCTTCTAGTAAGTGTAACTAGTTTCTGCATCAGACAGGTGGGACTGCTAAACCATGGCCATAACTTACCCGGCTTTGGCTTCTGCACTGAAATATACACTGCGAATAAGAATGTTCTTAATTGGTATTGATGCCGTTTACATAACGGCAAGCCAGAATTCTTGCAGCGCTTGTGTATCTGATAAGCTCCCACTCCTAAAGGGCGATGTGGCGTTAGTGGATTCCTTCCTCTTATGGGACCGACAAAGCAGAGACAGATGTTAACAGCTGGTCAGCCAAGAAATGAGTCATGCACATCCTGGTGCAGCAGAGCTAGCTTCATTCTCTGAATGGGAGCTCTGAGTTATGGTTCGTTCCAAAACATCTGGCCCTTGCATTCCGGGGATTTCCAAAAATGGGGAGCCCGTTTTTGAGTGTTCTTATATTTCATAGGAGTTGAAAGCCAGTGCAGCCAGGTGAGGCCTGCTCTGAACAGTTTTTGCACCAGTTTAACTATCTTGGTTAGGGGTGCCGTGTGGGTCTTTTTTTGTTTTGTTTAACCACTATAGTTAAAAGTGGTACCCAAAACTGTAGACAAGCCTGCAGAGATCCCACATGCACAAAACTGCTAATTACTCTAAATTCTAACCAGCCAGAGCCAATTCACGCCTCTCTGGTTATGGCATGATCTTGGCCTCGTAGTAGTGGTTGATACTCAGGAGTACCATCTCCTCCAATCCCATTTAGCAGGGATGGCTGTGGAAGTCCATTCAACATCTGTAACTCGTAACGTCTTTCATAATGGGTGGACATGGGTGCTACTTATCCTGTTTTTGCAAGTTTGAAGCCACGTCTGAACACAGAAGTTGCACCAGTTTAAAGTTGTGTTTAAACTGTAACTTCTGTGCATAGTTGAGACCTGATCTCTTTCCAGCTGAGATCGGATCTTAACCCTCCCACAAACAGCACAACTAATCCTTTATTTTACAGCAAAACATTGGAGCCTCTGAGATCCCCTTTCACCTTCATGTAGCATCAACAACAACAATACACTTAGGCTAGGTCTACACTGGGGTGGTGGGGGTCGACCTAAGATATGCAACTTCAGCTACGCGAATAGCGTAGCTGAAGTCGGTGTATCTTAGGTCGATTTACCTGGCCATGAGGACGGCGGCGAGTCGACTGCTGCCGCTCCCCCATCAACTCCGCTTCCGCCTCTCGCCATGGTGGAGTTCCGGAGTCGACAGCAGAGCGATCGGGGATCGATCACTACCTGTCGATCTGGCAGGTAGTGTAGACGTACCCTTAGACCAGGGGCAGGCAAACTTTTTGGCCTGAGGGCCGCATCGGGTTTCGGAAATTGTATGGAGGGCTGGTTAGGGGAGGCTGTGCCTCCGCAAATAGCCAGGTATGGCCTGGCCCCCGCTCCCTATGCCCCGCCCCCGCTTCTCGCCCCCTGACATGCGCCCTCCCCTGGGACTCCTGCCTCATCCAACCCCCACGTTCCCTGATGGCCCCCCCGGGACCCCTGCCCCATCCACTCCCCCTGCTCCCTATCCCCTGACCGCCCCCAGAACCCCCACCCCTGACTGCCCCCCACCGCCCCATCAAATCCCTCCTCTCATTCCTGACTGCCCCCCGCCGCCCCATCCAACCTCCCCCTCCTTCCTGACTGCCTCCCCCAGGACCCTTGCCCCCATTCAACCCCCCCGTTCCCCACCCTATGACTGCCTTGGCCCCATCCACACCCCCGCCCTGAACTCCCCTGCCCTCTATCCAACACCCCCCCCCCACCCCGCTTACTGCACTGCCTGGAGCACCGGTGGCTGGCGGCACTACAGCCACGCTGCCCTGCTGGAGCCAGCCACCACCGTGCAGCTCAGAGCACCGGGTCAGGCCGGGCTCTGCAGCTGCGCTGCCCCAGGAGCTTGTAGCCCCGCCGCCCAGAGCATTGCGCCAGCGGCGCAGTGAGCTGAGGCTGCAGGGGAGGGGGAACGGCGGGGAAGGGGCCGGGGGCTAGCCTCCTGGGCCAGGAGCTCAGGGGCCAGGCAGGAGTGTCCCGCGGGCCGGAGTTTGCCCACCTCTGACTTGGACAGTGGAGGTCTGTAGCACAGAGTGTCCCTGTAGCATGCGTACACAACTATACGGTAGCCGTTCCGTCTGGGATAGAACAGAGCAGGACTCGATACCCAGTACGTTGCTATTGTTGCCAGTTGCATATGGAAATATACCATGCCATCTATCTTGCTGTGCTGAGGAATGAACAGAGCACCATAAAACTCTTTACAGCAACCTGTTCCGGTTCAGGCTAGTCCATAAAGAAGACCGCTATCCAAATCTCCAGAAGTCAGGAAAGATCAACTGTTCTCTAATCCATCTTCTTGCCAATGCAGGATTTCTCTTATAGCCCACTTTTCTAATGTTCTGACCAGTCTGGCTTTAAATGTTCCAAACAATGGGCTTCCATTAATAGCCCTCCCTGCTGGGAAGGCTTTTTTCTGATATTTAGCCTAAGCTTTCCCTTAGCATCTCCCATCTTATTTTTTATATCTTTTGAATATTTGACTTGCCGTCTCCCTCTCCTCCCCCTCCTCTCACTTTGTTGTTACTTAGCAAAACTTTTTAGTTTCACCTCTTGTGAGGAAAGAGTCAGTTCACTTTTGTGGCTTGACTTGGAGCGTCCTCTCTGGTGTGACGTGGAGTTACGCCAGGGATTGGTTCATCCCTGTATTTGCAGTGTCCTCTTACTAGAACTTTATATGGGGATTGTTGCCTTCCTGCTCTGTGTCCTGATGCCTCACCAATTTCAACCCAAAATTGCATTGGCCATATCACATTGCAAACTCAGAGCTCCGGTTTTCTAACCCACGTGGATGAAGAGTACAGAAGTGGGGATCTT